GGCTTAGGCAGAGGCATTTTACGGGAATAAACTGTTCAGTGTGGAGTTAGGGAGTGAGTGAGCTGAGCTGTTGGGAAACCGGTGAGAACTTGCCCCAGAGATTAGAGCCTTTCCCTCTTCCCCTTGAGCTACAGAGAAGAGGGTTCTGGGATCTGCTGAGAGAAATTTAGATACAAACGACAGTAAGAGACTCATAGACTTAGAAAACAAGCTTGTGGTTGCCAGGGGGAAGGATGGTCAGGGAGTTTGGGATGGTCAGGTGGCACTGCGAGATTTAGAATGGATAACCAACAAGGACCTGTTGTGTAGCACATGGAACTCTGCTCAGTGTCATGTGGCAGCCTAGACGGGAGAGGGGGTTGGGGGAGAGTGGGTATATACGTATGTATGGCTGAATCCCTTCGCCATAAACTGTTCATCTGAAACTGTCACAACACTTAATCTGCTGCACCCCAATACTCAGAAAGAGTTGGACATGACTGAGCAACTGAACAGCAACAACCCAATACAAAATAAAAACTCCCGCTTCCCCAGAAATAAAGAGGCAATTCACGCTTCTACCCTTGGAAGAATGGCGGGCCTGCTTGGGCACCTAAAAGAATTTCAGGAACTTTCCCAAAGACAGCTTGTTTCAAGCCAAGTCTTAGCCTGGATTTCCCCCAGAGCTTAGCCCCGAGTTAAGGATTGGAGTCCACATCATTCTCCTGGAGGAAAATGTAAAAATAATAATAATAGATAGCAGTATTAAATAATATCCCATTGAGCATTGTGGACCCAGGGGGTTCCATCCCACTCTGGGAGACTGCCTGGGGGAGGAGGCTCCTCCCCTACCCTTCTCTCCTCTGGGAGAGGTCTTGGAGGGGTCATGGAGCTTGAATGAATTGCCCACCACCTTCCACCAGTCACTGAAGTTAGCTTTCAGGGGTTGGGGGCTATTAACACCCCAGAACGTCTAGCTTTGTTGGATGAGTGTTGATCAGGCTCCCAGGTACATTTGGAAGCTAGGGGTCCCCGCCCACAAAGACCATCCAGTGGCATCTGTGTGTGTGTGTACCATTGAGTGGTCTGCTGGTGATGGATGTGTGTGTGTCATTCCCATCATTTCGTCTTTACAGACAACTGCTGCTATGAACGTCCTCAGCCAAACCCTTCTGAATATCTGAGCGAGGTTCCCTCCAGGATCTGCACCTGGAATTAGAATTGCTGTTCGGTGGAGCGCGGGTGTCATGAACGGCTCCAGGTCTTGCCAGATGGCTTTCCAAGATCGTTGTCTCTTACTGTCGTTGTCTTGGCAGTATATGAATATCCTACTGATTCACATTCGCACCAGTGTTTCCTGCAGTCAGCTTTCCTAAGCACTGCCAACCTGGTGAAGCGTGACTTTCAGCGCATGTCCATGATTACTAACGCAGTTGACCATGTTTGCATACGCCTTTTGTCTAATGATGTCTTTTTAAAAATAGTCTGATGTTGAGTGCTTAATTCCTTAAGTCATGTGTCCGTGTGTGTGGTCTAGGAAGGTGTGTGTTGGGTAGGGGGAGTCTTTGTTCACTCTGAGAATTTTTGTCAAGGAAAATTCTTCAAGCTCCCTAGGAGGATATTCATGATGACAGTTATTAAGTAGTGCTTTTTTATGGAGATCCTCATAATGATTTGAGCCACCATAATACTAAAGTTATACATAATAATATCCTGATTACCACCGTCACAATTCCTTCACATTTACTGAAGTTTTACTGTTACTGTTAACCTATATTTGTATTCGTTAAACCACACAGTCACCTGTGGGATCTGAACAGTACCAGTTCTACATGGTTGCATCAGGTTCTGAATAGTCACCTTACACTTTGATCACAATCCAAGATTATCTCATCATGTATAGCTAGCATTTTGTTCTAATCCATCTCTTTCATATCAACACATCAGGCAAAACATCACCATCTGTCATAAATACACCCCTTCTTAGTTTCTTCATTAGATTCAAAAACTAGAGAAGAGAAACAGCTGAGGACATCCCAGTAAGCATGTTCTGTGTCATCTCAGCCCAAATGAACTTCAGATCCAGAGCATGAATGGCACAGCAGGGTGTTTAAATGAATAGGTAACCACTGGTGAAAGGGAAGCTGGGCAGTGAAGGGTTGTATCAGCAGGTCCAGGTTGTCCAAACTGCCACGTAACAGGTTTGGCTCTTGCCTGGCTCCTGGGGGCTGTTCTAAGCCCTTAGCATGTCCTGGGTGATCCAAGTACCTCTGTTTATCTGAGGCCTTAAACTGTGCTGGAGAGTCTATGCTAGTGATGGGATATAGGGTGGGGCCTCAGACCACACAGTGTCGGCTTGACCACTGGAAGGACTGGAGACCAGGTTCAGTTACATAGGTGGTCATCCACACCCCTGCAGCTGACCACCAGTAAGAACGTTAGGACAGGGCTTCCCTGGTGGCCCAGCCACAAGGAGATGCTGGTTCAGTCCCTGGGAAGATCTCCTAGAGAAGGAAATGGGACCCCATCTAGTGTTCTTGCCTGGGAAGTCCCAGGAACAGAGGGGCCTGGTGGGCCACAGTCCATGGGGTTGCAAAGAGATGAACACAACTTAGGGACCGAACAACAACAGCTGAGAACTTCGGACGCCAAGGCGTGGGTGAGCACGCTGGGCGGCAGGGCCCCGTACGTGTTCTCACTCGCCCCTGCCGCCTGCACGGCCCCACTGGGATGGAACGCTACCCCTCACGCCTCTCCCCTTTGCTGATTCCAACCTGTGCTTTTTTTTTTTTTTGCTGTAATGAACCATAACTGTGATCATAACATCTTCCCTGGTTCGTGAGCCCTTCTGCTGAGTCACTGCACCCGAGGGTGGTCTGGGAGAACCCGTGTGGGACCCCAACGCCGTGCAGTGCACACGTGCAGTGTGTGAGCGCAAGACCCAGAGGCGCCGAGGCCCTTTCCCTCCTCCACGGCCTTTGTTACCGCTGTCGTAGTCAGCTCCAGCCGCCGTTAACAAAAGTGCCACAGACGGGGTGGTTTAAACGAAACGGTGGTTCCTCACTGTTCTGGAGGCTGGAGGCTGAAGATTGGGGTGCCAGTGTGGTCCGGTTCTTGGGGAGAGCTGATGGCTGCCTTCTTGGTGTGTCTTCACGTGGCAGAGAGACACTAAGGAAACAGACTGTCTCTTGTTCTTCTTCTTAAGGCACCGATCAGATTCACAAGGGCTCCATCCCCTGACCTAATCACCTCCCCAAGACACCGTCCCTGAGTTCCATCACATTTGGGAATTCAGCATGTGAACTAGGGTAACACATGAAGAATGCTGGAGTGGATTGCTGTGCTCTCCTCCAAGGGATCTTCCCGACCCAGGGATCAAACCCGAGTCTCATATCACCTGTATTGGCAGGCAGGTTCTTTACCACTAGCATCACCTGAGAAGCCTGGATGTCCTCCACCTGCCCCCAAAGGCCAGGGTCTAAACCCCATGGGAGCCAAAATTTCCTCAGTTGCAATAAAGAAGTCCTGGAGATAACATTTACTATAAATAGACCTGCCTTTTGCTTCTATCAGCTAAATTCGTGACTCTTCATTAATTTCAAAGAGTTGTTTTAGAATTGGCCCAGCCTCATAGATAAGCATCCTTTAGAGACATGTATTATCAATTCTTTCTCTTACTTAACCTATTTAAATCCTCTAATTAACAACATCTTTTCAGGCAATAGATTTGTATTCTTTGACCCTCACCTAAGAGGCCATAACTTCAAAAATTTCAACAGCAAATGAGCATAAATTACATTGATTATTCGTCCTCTTTTCTTCAGCTCTGGTCAGAAAGTTCGTTTGAATTAGAAGAAAATTGCATGGAAAGTGGAATATGTATTCAAGCGAGAGAAACAGATCACAACTAGATACGGAGTATAATCCTAATTTGTTTAAAAAAAAAAACAAAACACCCACCATGTGTAGATGGGAATAAGCGTGGAAGGAAAAACTTCTGGATGATGACTGTGGACATGTGGCCTTTGGGAACCTGAGATGGGGGCAAGTGCAGCAGAGGAACTGAATCTTAAACTGTATTCCGGTCCAGTTAATCTCGATGTGAGTAACCACCTGTGACCACTGGCTTCCCTGTTGGACAGCACAGGGAGTCAGCTTTGCTTGTGCGTCTGGAAGTCGGTGCTAGTGGCTGGGCCGCCTGGGCGACCTCGCCATGGGGACTCTGCCGGGGCTGGTTGGCCCCCTCATGGCCTGGCAGCTGGGTTCCAGCAGAGGCCAGCAGGAAGCTGTGTCGCCTTTCAGGACCTAGGCTCAGGGGTCAGGCCCTATCCCTTACGGGCTGCCCTGCGGCTCAGACTGTAAAGAACCCCGTGCAGTGCAGGAGACCTGGGTTCTATCCCTGGGTCTGCAGGGTCCCCTGGAGAAGGGAATGGCTACCCACTGCTGTGTCCTTGGCTGGAGAATCCCATGGACAGAGGAGCCTGGCAGGCTACAGTCCGTGGGGTCGCAAAGAGTCGGCCACAACTGAGTGACTAAGACTTTCACTTTTTAGTGTCACTGATGCCCTAGTCACAAGCAGTCCCAGATTGGAGGTGGGGGGAACGCAGATCCTGTGCCTTGATGGAAGAGCCTGTGTGAAACTATAAGAAGAGGGCATGGAATGAGAGGTGGATTTGTGGCAAGAGGGAGGTTAATTTCAAAATGGATCATCTATGACTGCCCCACAAACCACCCCAAAACATAGTACTGTAACAATTATTTATTTTGCTCACAATCCACAGGGTTCAGACAGCTCATCTCTGCTCCAAAGAGCTTTAGTTCAGGCAGTTCAAAGGGGGACCACAGGATCCACTTTCAAGTCGGCACATTCACGGGGTTGGCAAGTTGGTGCTGGCTGGTGGTCGGCAGGGAGCCAGCCGGGGTTGTGGTTGGGTGGGGGTGGGTGTTGGGTCCTGGTTCCTCTCCATATGCTCGCTCCCACCCGTGGTGGCTGGATTCCAAGGTTGAGGCCCCAGGACAGGATGGCGTTCTCGTGCGGCAGCCTTGGGAGTCACAGAGCATCCTCTCCATTGTCCCCCGCTGGTCAGGACTGCACCCGGCTGGACCTCGCTCTAGAGGAGGGGCCACAGGCCCTTCCACTTGGTCAAGAGCGTGGTGAGGGGCGCCCGTGGGTGGGAAGCCCCACGGCAGGCGTCTTGGCAGAACGGGAAGGTGAGAGCCTGAGGCGCCGGCTCGCCCTGTGCCTGGACGATTTCTTGAGGACGCGGCAGGCGCCGTTATGGTCACTCCCTTTCCCAGCGAGCACTGCCCTCTGCACTCGGCGGGCCCCACGCCCACTCCCCTCCACGTCCCGCGCGGCGCGGTGCCCGTTGCCCGTTGCTGCACCTGCTCGTGACCTGCGGCCGGTGTTGTCTGACTGCTCCCTTTCCCCAAGGAGCATAAATACTTCCTTCTCCCGAAGAGAAGGACGTGGCCCAGTTAGGCTGCTGACAGAGACAGGAAAGAGGCGCGCGGTTGGGCACTGTCACACACAGGCCCAAGGTAAGGAGAGGTGGCCGTTTGTACCGAGTAGGAAAACAACAACTGTAGGGTTTTTTTCCATGTGAGCTATTTCCAAGTCACTGCCCATTTCCGTACCTGGTCAGAAACATGTAGGAACTTCCCTGCTGGCCCAGTGGTGGAGAATCCATCTTGCAATGCAGGGAAGGTGGGTTCCGTCCCTGATCGGGGAACTAAAATCTCAAGCTGTGGGGCAGCTGAGCCCGCGTCCTGCGATGACTGAGCCTGGGGGCCGTAACCAGAGTCCACGCACCTCGATGAGAGATCCTACATGCCGAGACTAACGCCCGGCGCAGCCCAATAAGTAAATAACAGGTATTTTTTTAAAAAGAAAGAGAAACCTTTGGGAGCTTTTAAGAAGTACCGCTTGCTTTGACATCCTGGCAGCTTCTGGAACATTTCAGGAGCCCGTGCTCATGCATTTATCTCTGCCTGGAATTGGAGCGCCTGTCCTTTTCCTCCACCTTTTGCCTGCTCTCTCCCTGTGTGCCAGGCTGAGATGGGTGCCCCTGTCTGTGTGACTTGTCACAGGGCAGGAACTGTCGCTGTTGTCATTGTTCGTTGGGGACAGAGACGTGTGAGAATGATTCAGGGTTGCCATATATTAATTTAGTCCCTGAAGTAGGTCTGCAGAGGACTGGGTTTGAAGTTTGATAAAATGAGTTCTCGGACACATATATCTTTTAGAACTTGACATTTTCTGTAATAAGCTCAAAGGACATTTTCAGCAAAGCCTGTCAGAAGATGCCAGGCTGCAGGCTTTGGGGGCGCTCTGCTTCTCGAGTCTCCCCAGCTCCTCACTGCGGAGGAGCTCAGACTGGGGGTGACAAGGGGCTGCTTGTCTCGGCTGTGGTCTAGGGGTTGCAGGAATCCCTGGGTTGGGGGCTCTCCCAGCCTCAAAGACACCTGACTCTGTTACCTGGAAACCTCCGCATAAATGCTTTCCCTGCCCTTGCTGCTTGCTCACTGTAACACTTCAGAGCCCAGCTCTGCCCACAAGCGTGTAGAAACTCAACAGATGGTTGCGACCAAGTTGGGATGCAGTGTAGCCGCATCCTACACACATTCGCCTTGGTACTGTGGGTGCCATCAGCTGTGAGTGCGTGTGATCCTCACGCTTATAGATACTTGTTTTTTCAGCCTATGCACTCTAACCACTCTGTGTATACCTGAAACCATGTATCAACTATGTGTATATATATACACACACGCATTGTAGAATATATAATGCAATTAATATACTTACAAAGTGTTACAAATAATATATATGTGCAAGTATTGATTATGCAAATTACAATTACATAAGATACATTGACTTAGAATACTTATTTTAAGGAATGGCCTGGCATAATTGTGGAGATGGGCAAGTTAAAATCTGTAGGAGAGGCCAGCAGGCCAGAAACTCAGGTAGGAGTTGATGCTACAGTTTTGAGGCAGAAGCTCTTCTTCCTCACGAAATCTCAGGTTTGTGCTCTTAGGCCTTCAGCTTATAGAGAGGATCAGCCAGACGAGGGAGGATCATCACCTTTACAGAGGTCAGCTGACTGTGCGATGTTCCCACTTCCTCCCAGAGCTCTGGAGCAACACCTGGATTTGTGTCTGCTTAGATGCCTGGGTCTTGTAGCCCTGAAGGTGGACACATCAAACTCACCATCACCCAAATGTAGATGGGACATTTCTAAGCACAACATTAACCGAACCACACATGGTGACTTTAAAATCAAACTCTGAGAAAAGGGAAGTATCCTACACCACTGGTGGTAAAGTAAGTTGGTACAGCCACTGTGGGAAACAGTGTGGATGTTTATCAGAAAACAGAAAATAGAACAACCATATGATTCATCAGTCCCACTCCTGGGCATATATCCAGACAAAACTCTAATCCAAAAAGATACACACACCCCTATGTTCACAGCAGCACAATTCACAATAGACAAAACATGGAAACGACTTAAGTGCCCAGCAACAGATGAATGGATACAGAAGACGTGGTGCATATGTGCAATGGAATACTACTCAGCCATGAAAAAGAACAAAATAACACCATTTGCAGCAACATGGATGCAACTAGAGATTATTATAAGTAGGTCAGAAAGAAAAAGACAAATACCATATGATATCACTTGCATATGGAATCTAAAATATATTAATAATGCAAATGAACCCATCTATGCCACGGAAGCAGGATCACGGAACAGACTGGTGGGTGGGTAGCGGGATGGACTGGGAGTTTGTGGTTGACAGATGCAGACTGTTAGATACAGGATGGTTAAACAACAGGGTCCTACTGTATGGCACAGGAAACTAGTCAGTATCCCGTGATGAGCCTCAGTGGGAGAGAATATGAAAAAGAACGTGTGCGTGTGTGTGTATATGAAAGTGAATCACTTTGCTCTACAGCAGAAATGAACACAGCGCTGTGAATTAACTATACTTCAGTGTAAAAAATCAAACTCCACTACATACACACCTAAGTAATGCATCGTATACGTAAGCATAATAGTAATGGTCAGAGATTTATGATGTCAGTATTGTTTTGGGGGGGCCATTATTTCAGTCAAGTGAATAAATCAGGAAGTGGTTAAGAGCAGAGAGGTAAAATGTATAGTTTTTGTGGGTTTAAGGAGCAGTATCTATCTATAAAATCTATACCTCACTTAGCAATCTTCATTTACTTCTGAAAAGCCCTGCCCCAGACTGAAAAGCTATTAGGTGAACAAATGTGTCCGTTATTCACGGTAAAAATTGTGATGTGTTCCATCCTGGACCCAAATATCCAAACAGTTTCCACAGATAAAATACAAATTGAACAAGGAAAACCCAGTTATAAAGAGTAACACTCTTAAAGTAAATAGATAGTTTGTCCATAAAATAAAGTGTGTAATAAAGTTTTAGTGTATTTGCTCTTTTGTCTTCTTTCAGCACTTTCTTCACTGATTTTTCAACCTTCTGGGACTCTTGGTGACTCAAAGTGAACTTAAAAATAAAGTAATGATGCATAAAATCACCTTGAGGGCAAAATAAAGGCAAAACATGAGAACTGTTCAAAGCTGAAATGTGGAAATACGGCTTCCACACAACACACCAAAGGCTAGTTGAAAATAAGACCTTCCATCCCACTCAGCTGGTGAATACAGGAAAGCAAAATATGTTGGTATGCAATTAAAATTTATTATAATTTATACAGTTGTTCTCCAATGAGAAACTGTATAAAGTAAGTTTTCTGACCTTCCTTGAAACTGTCATGTCTAAATATGGCATCTTTGTAGCATGTTTATTTAGTGTGCTTTTGATGAAAAAGTCGTGACGCACGTGTACACACATATGCACACACAGGAGTCATTGTTTAAAAAAGCGCTGTAACTTTTACTTAGAAAATGAACTTAACGACAGCCGAGAGGAAGGGATGATTAGGGAGTTTGGGAAGGTTCAGTACACAGTGCTGTATTTAAAATGGATAACCAGCAGGGACACCCCGTACAGCACAGGGAAGTCTGCTTAATGTCACGTGTCAGCCTGGATGGGAGGGGGTTTGGGAGAGAATGGATGCATATATGTCTGAGCCACTTTGCTGTTCATCTGAAGCTACCACAGTGTTGTTAATTGGCTGTACTCCAATACAAAGTAGAAAGTTTAAAGTCTGAAAGAAATAAATGAAAGGCTTGTGGGTTTTTTTTTTAAGTGCTGTAGCTTTTAAGAGCCATTATGGTGGAAGTTCACACACTGAGGCATCATTGTGTGATGTCCATGTGTCTGTGCTTGCCAGTTCGAAGAATATTTCTCAAAAGATAACAGGGAGCTGGTAACAGAGGCTGCTTCTAGGGAGGAGGACTGGGAGACATTGATAGGAGGGAAATTTCATTTTAACTTAAAAACCTTTTTTGAAAAGAAGGGAGAAGAATGTACAAGGTTACCAGCAGGAGTCCCTGACTGGGTCCCGACGCCTCAAATGGAAGCGCACGATTGAAAGATTTCACGAAGAATAATTTCCCTGCAACGCCATCCTGTGGAGAGAGAGTGATCAGACCACGTTCTGAGATTCAGTTTCATGGAGACTGTTCCTTTCCCAGCATGTTGATGTAGATTCACACCATTGCCCTGTGCAGATGAGCCCTTGGAGCAGACTTCTTGTCACTCTGTGCTCCGTCCTCTTCCCAGAGGGCGGAGCCCAGCTCCCACCACAGCAGCTGGAAGTGAAAAACGCGTGCACTCCAGGCTCCCTTGCAGCTAGGCTGACCCACCTCCTGTCCAGGGGGTCATCAGAGGAGACCTGCTGAGAGAAAGCCCCCGGTCAAGCAGGGCGTGAGAGAATTAAGTCCTGTCTATTCTCTGGGACACGAGTGGGTAAAGGTGTGATGTCTGGAGCTGTGGTAGCCCTGTGGTGACCATGAGGAAATCACCTGAGGAAGAAAGCTGAGGACTCGTGAGCAGAAAGAGAGAAAGGACCCAAGCTTGTGATGTCTTCATGGTTCCACTGAAATACCCAGTCTTGGAAGGACTTACTGTTGGACTTCTTCCAGTGAGAGAGACTAAATGCCTGTGTCGTTAACTCTGATTGTCCTGAGCTGAACTGAAGAGAGCCTATGTGCTCAGTTGTGTTTGACTTTACGACCCCATGGACTGTAGCCTGCCAGGCTCTTCTGTCCATGGAATTTTCCAAGTGAGAATACTGGAGTGTGTTGCCATTTCCTCCTCCAGGGGATCTTCCCAGCCCAGAGACTGAACCTGAGTCTTCTGTATCCTGCATTGGCAGACAGATTCTCTACTAACGCGCCACCTGGGAAGCCCCTGATGGTCCTAAACATCCTATTTATTTAATCAAGTTTTCAGTTACTTGTAAAGTATCGTAGCTGATATAACATGTCATAAACTTTTAAATAATTGTTCTAGATATATCATGCCAGTGAATGTGAATTTCACTGTGATATATTTCCTTTGTAGAATCAGTCATCAAGAAATAAAAGTTTAAGTAGTGAGTGTTT